TCATTTTAAAAATCATGCTTCAGTACATGAATCTATTTCAAATTGAAATTACACCTTGTGTGCCTATTACTTATAGCTGCAAGTTTCATTGGGAGGGGGGTGGGGCGCGGATAATGAATGTGCACAAGGGTTGGTTTTCCTTGTGGCTTTTAAATGCAGCAAGGTAACCTTGTTCCTCGTGCCATGTCTGGTAGAATTAACGCTGCTGGAGTAAATAAAAGCTGTAAGGGGGGGTTGATGTGGAGTAAACATGAAGGGTTGAGCTGGATCAGTGGTACTTTCCCCTTTCTCTACAGTTGCTTTCAAATCAGCCATTCCTCAAGGAACAGGAATCACTTCTATTTGAATCAGGAGCGATCGCTATATACAGATTATTACGCAGAAAAGGGGAAGAGGTGGGGGGGAGGCGCAGACCAAGCGAGAGAGTGACTTTCTCTGTCCACATCTGATAGAAGAAGTTTGCCCACGGTTCCTTTCAAGTCCTTCTTCAGAGGTGACCCCTGGTCCTTCGTTATAAAATAAGCCATTTAAGGTGGCAATTGACGGTGAATGACTCCAGATTTGCTCTGTTACACCGGTGTAAATCCAGACCCGCCCGAGGTTACTCCGGATTTGCACCGGTATAAAGAGAGCGGATCTCTTTACCTACAGTCTGCTTGGCTGCATAATTAAATGATAGAGATGCTCCCCATAGAAAGCGAATCTGTTAGCCAGTGCAAAGCCCCCCCTGTAGCTCTTCCAGCCCGTTAGCAGGCCACGTCTGAGCGAGGCCTGTCTGGATCGTGAATAGTCCTTTTCAGTGCAAATCCACAACGGCCACGTTGCGTGGCGTACTGCACGAATCACTATCGGTTCTTTTCACAAGGTTTTCCACCAACAAATCTGGATTGTGGCTAAAAGGCTCCGAGCGGTTAATAGGACGCCTCGCCATGCTTCTTAAATAGGCATTATTGGGCAATTCTCCTCTCACGTATGCCAGTTTTACCCTGGCGTCACTCCGCTGATTTCAAAGCAGTTACTTCTAATTTGTACACTGGTGTAAATTACGAAGTGAATCCGCAGCTCCATGCTTAAATAGGGACAACGTCAATGGATTTCAGAACCAGTTGCTCCTGCATTAGCATTACCCGATGGAGCCCTAAAGTGTTACCCAAGGGCTCCAGAGAAGCTATTACAATCTACCGAGCAAAACAAAAACACGTTTAAAAATCTTCTTTAAGACGCTAAATATAAAAGGCTGGCTAAGGCTCTTTCGGAATTAGACTCTTTTCAATATGTATTTCCTGTTGTATTATTTAGCTCATGGGGGAGCTTTGTTGCTTGAAGGTATTGCCAATCTGAAAAGCTGTCCAAATGTGTTTATACACATGCGCTGGTGGCATCCTGATAACATGTGAATGTACATGCATTTCTATAGGAGTATTTTCCTCCTTTCTGTGCTGCTACAGACTAGCATCCAGGCACAAAATAAAGTGAAACATCTTTAAGTAATGATCTAACTTGGAACCAACAAGACCAAAGGAACACACAAAGTTGAAGCAGAGACTCTAGCAATCGGGAGTCTAAACTGTGGCCGATCTGACAAATTATGTACGAGATTTTCCTCTTGATTGTTGGGATTTACAGGCCTAACACCCATTAGCCTTAATGGGAATTGGGGCTTTGTATCCCCAGGCATTGAAATGAATGTGTGTGTATTCAGTATATGCTGCAAAACCTAGGCACGAGATAGGATGAGCACAAGTTTATCTCCATCTCTGCATTTCCTTACAATTAGATCTCCTTCGAGTATCTGAAAGACAGAGGTTTCTTCGGAAGTTATTTTAGGTAAACTATTTTAATTTGCTGGCAAACCCTGTTCACAAACAGGCTCCAACAACTTGAGGAAATCTATCCAGGTTTGACTATGAATGTACTGTTGGAATATCAATCTAAATAACTCCATTTTCAGATATAGACAAGCCAGTCTAAGAAATCACCAAAAATAATACTAAAATCCAAAATGACTTGGCTCTCCTGAGGCTGAAAGGCCTTAAACTGGATCTCATATTTTTGTGATTCTTCTTCCTTTTGTTCAAAGAGGCGTTGTTCTTAAATATTTTACCTGATATGTGCATTTTAGATATATCATCTATGTAATAAACACTTATACACACACACAGAGCGAGCGAACAAATATGTAACACAGACACATACATACCTGTATTTATATATAACGCTCCTTTCCTATCTGTACCATATACGAATCAAATACCAATTTAGTGAAGACAGGAGAGGAAATTTCTCCGTGGCGTGGTAATAGATCATACAATGTGTGACACTGGTTTAACCAATAAAACAATTTGAATCAATTAGCTCGCGGAGGAGAGTTTTGAAGTGTAAAATTCATGTCAGTCTGGCTAGGAAGCATTGATTAAAATGTCACCAATCTGAGGCTTACAGCTATTGCTCACATGAAAGCAGCAGGCTCCGATATGGAAGAGAATCAGAAAAGGGGGGGGCGGGGAGGTCCCTGTGTGACAATTGCTGTGTACGGGCTAGCAGGATTTAATAAAAGGTGACAGAAGTAGTAATAAAGACAGGCTTTTGCATTTCAAAGTTTTAGCGAGGATCAGGCGTTGTAAGGGCTCTGCAAGTTAGCTGTCTAGGTAAAGATTAAAAAGAGTTTTCAATATTTATGGAATATCTGTTGGTGAATGATGCTAAGAGTCGAAAAGGAAAACTGCAGCTCGCTTTAGCATGCAATCCTTTATAAAACGTTTTCGGGATTAACAACCACGCGGAAAGGTTTCCCATGTTTCCCCTGATCTTTAAAAAAAAAAATCTTTAAAAAATAATCTAAGGAATATTTAGAAATAGCCAATCCCTTGGCCCTAGATCCATCCTGCTGTTTAAACGGATCTGAGCTGGATCTGTTTGCCAGATGCTATTCGATTTTGCCTTGAAGTCTGCAGGTTTTCACTACTAGCAAGGACCTGACAAACTTTAGAATGGGAAAGCCTCTTCTCTCCGGTTGCTATTATCAATACAAAGTTGAAACCTGGTCAGTCCAAACACAGATCTTGCCAAATCTAAGGGGTGTGAGTGTGGGGGGGGGGGCATCAGGTGTTTGCTCTGTTTCCTCTTTGAAGAAGTGTTGAAGACCCGCTACATATGAACGATTGTTCATACAACGCAAGGATACCTCTGCTTATCTTTCATAGCATACAGTTTTTCATGCTCACATCTGCATTTATCAAGGAGATCAAAACATTAGCTAAACTATAGCCAAGCATTCTTGGAAAGCTACAGGAAGGAAAGGGGGAGAACTATTTCGAAATCTTGAGAAGTTCCTTAAAGTCAAAAGAAAGGGAGGAAGGGAGGGGGGGTGTGTGGGTGTGTGTGTCAAGATTAGGCGTGGAAATTACTTATAATTGGATGAGGAGGAATAAATCGTGGGTAGTTAGATCGAATATTTTCCCTGCGATATGCCGAAAATAATGCCAGCGTCTTTATTTTTGTCAGGAAGTTCAAAGCGTTGATTATCTGCTTGACAAATACAAGTGCAAACTTTACTATCTTGTTTAAGACCTACTTCATATTCGTTTCTTCATTTCTTTTGCCCATTTTGTGCAAAAAAAATACGACAAGCCTTCGTGAAGCTGGGTTTCAATACGTCTGTGCTGCTTGCATTAGATTGTTTAGTTTGCTTGGGGCGCCACATTTTTATTACTGTCCATTGCGTTTGTTCTTTAGTTCTTGCGCCTGAACCTATCGGAGTCGGCTGTTAGAAAAGTTACATTGCACCTATGTCATGCAATCCTCATTCTTCGAACCTAAATGTTTCCAAAAACTGTAGCTTTTATCCTCCAATTGACTCCCCTCCTCCCCCAATTTCTTGGCAGGGCTAAGGCTTAAAACACTCAAAAACATTTAAACAGTTGTAGTTACAAGTTAAATGTCATTTATACTTTCAACGCTCTTCCCTCTCTGGTAAAACGTGTGTAATACTTCCCCCTAACTTCTGGCCAGTTAAGGGGCAAATATATTGACAACAGATGAATATCCTGCGCTCTTTATTCAAATCTCTCTTTAGGCAAATTTGCCATTGAGCTTGTTTGTACACTGCCAAGTACCACTGGGCCCTAATCGCTTGTTGGGGGCCCGAGGCGCTGGGCCCTAGGAACCATAAATACACAAAATTACGTTCAAATGTTTTGCCACGATATACAGAGCCGTCGATTTGCTACTTAAAGAATCGCGCAAAAGGGATTATTTAGTCTTGTTACGGTGGATTCTTTCCCATCGAAATTCCCTTTTCAAGGCAACCCGCGACATCTCCAGCTCAGATAGGTCACCTCGCTACCCATTTGGACAATGCAACTGTTTTAAACACAAGGCAATCCACAGACTTATTTTATACTCAACCAACATTAGGAGGGAGTAGTCTGCAGGGCGTAGGCTTTTTGCAGGTTTTCTTCAAAGTACGTTTGAGAAGGGGGTTAGAGGGGAATTATCCACAGGGCTCGATGCTGCAATTCAGGCAAAAAGGGAGTAAGGGGCTCGGGATGGGTCCTCTGCTGTAATTTTAAAAACGTCTCCATACTGTGTGGGGGTGGGGGGAGGCGTCTCCCCGCACCATCTCCACCTGTTGGGGAAGCAGCGGGAGGTGGGCTGGAAGAGCTGCTGCGGTGTCTAATCAGAATGGATTGCACGGTGAGGCTATTACATTATCGGGTGACAACAGACCCTCTTTTGCCATGAATCCTGGGAGAAGGCATGCCTCGTTCTGCCAGGGTTGGGGCCCTGGCAGGTCGCCACGCGTGGCTGCACCGGGGCGCCTCTGAGCCCCCACTTTAAACCCCCATTAAAGGCGCCGGCGAGGTCAGGGCGCTGCCGGCCGTTCTCCGCCTGCCGAGAGGGCTCTCGGTGCAGCCTGCCAGCCCCTGGATGCGGAGTGCCTGGGAGCCGGTGACGTCACCGTGCCCACTGGGTGTCGTCCTTTCGGTCCGCCTGGAGTTCGGAGACAGAGGGGAAGGCGCTCCAGCGAGCGCTCCACCTGGGGCTGGGCGCCGACCCGTTCGCACGCGGAGAGCAGGGGCTGAGCGGGACTGATCCGGCTCGCCATCTGCAACCGTCATTCTCCGCTATCATTAACGCAGAGGACAGCCCTGCCTCTGAGCGGAGGAAACCTTGCGAGACTCCTTGCCTGCTTGATTTGAGGACATGCTTTGATGTCTCTTCCCTCTTCTCCCCCCCCTTCCTCCTTTTTGAGTCCCCCCCTGGAAGCCGGTCAGGAGGACACATATGTAAAGAACACCGTGCTTGAGGAGGTAAATATTTCATCCTCGCTGCCTGTTCGGGTCAATGTTAGCTCTGGTCAGATTTTCTGCATGAAGTTCAGGGTGTGTGTATGGGTGTAGGGGGGAGGGACAGGCAGGTTATACATTAAATTAATTGGGGGAAAGGGAGGGTGCTAGGGACCTTTTATAGGATGTTTGCTTGAGCAAAACTTTTACTTTCTTCCAATTGCCTTTTTTAATCTTATTGACATCTTTCACCAGTATTGATATATGGCTTCCCCCCACTCCCTCTGTGGCAGGGGAGGAGAGAAGGGGGAAGATTGGGGTTTAAACCACTGGTTTAAACAACGCCTGGTCCACAAAACCCTTGAAAAATCATACCAGGAAAGTCTAGCTGGACTTAATCTCATTCAGGTCCGTGTCTATGGCTGTGTAAAAGTCAGCATAGTAGCTGAGAGGATAAGAATCTTAGTTGGTCAATGAGGGAGCTATTTGAGGAGTTTGTGTAGGGGAACGAGGTATAACTGTTGTCTCACATTGCCTATTAAGCATCAGAGGGGTAGCAGTGTTGGTCTGGATCTGTAAAAGGAGCCAAGAGTCCTGTGGCACCTTATAGACTAACAGAGTATTGGAGCATGAGCTTTCGTGGGTGCATCCGAAGAAGTGGGTATTCACCCTCGAAAGCTCATGCTCCAATACCTCTGTTAGTCTCTATAAGGTGCCACAGGACTCTTTGCTGCTATCGCCTATTAAATACAATATCTCCGGCGGAGAGAGAGTTATGTGATCCATCCCAGGTGACAAACTCGGTTCCTGTCTTGTTTGAACGTGTCTAGGTTTGTTCAGCAGTCCTGAAGGCCACCCCTGTAATGAAAGCTGAGAATCAGAGAAAGCAATATTGTGAAATAGTAATGTCATATGAAACAAAGACAGAATTAGAATTGTATTATGATCTTTCAAATCAGAGATAAATATGACCTGCAACTTATTAAATATAAACGATAAGGTTGAGATGGTCAGAGAAGGACAATTTTAAGCAACTGATGTAGCCTTTGATTATCTCAGTTATTACCCAGTGCTTTCTTGGGAGAGAAGATGGTGTGCTTTAAAAAAAAAAAAACCAAGTTGTTTTGCCCATAGGCGTTTCTGTTGTTTGGTTTTGTACAATTCATTCTAAATCCTTATTTTAACTATTATTTGCTTTAAAAATATTCTTAACTGGTGCAATTAAATAATTTACTATTCTCCTAACCTGAGATGATATTGGAATGTATGCCTTTGAAAAGATGGCATTATCAACCCTTTGAAGATAGAGGAAACGTCCCGATAGCATCCAGAGAAAGCGGAAGCAATCAATTCAATATTTTGTGCTGATGGTGGGTGGTAATTGGGTAGCTTCCTTGAAACCTTGTCGAATTTTTAAACCACTTCTCAGTAACATTCTTTACACACCCATTGTTTTTCTAATGTCAACACAGTAATAGGTAAACATTTGAAAATGGTTTCAAATCATAAACACCTTCTTCTATTTAGGAGTATTTGGGTCTCAGGAATGACGATCCAGATTTATCCCGTTGATCAAACAGTAGATAATATAGTTTTAACATGTGATGCGCCAAAATTAACTACAATATTTCCGTTTTGTTTTAGAAGCTTTCCAAATTTTTCTTTTTAGCGACTGAAGATTTTACACTGCAAAAATACCACTACTCACTGGAATACGTTGGTGATGTGGATTTCGTTTCATGTTAGAAAATTATTTAAACTTTCGATTCAAAATTGTGAATTAAACCTGGTACTAAAGACAATCGAGTCATATTAAATACGTTTTGGGATAAATACATTTTAAGATTCTTTGCCATTCAGAACTCCCACTGAAGTCAATAGATGTGCTAGGTATGGTAGGAATGCAGAAAACAATTCTAGCATGTGAAATGACTTTTTTAGATGTGGTGTTTTAGCCCTGTTGGTCCCGGGACATGAGACAAGGTGAGGTAATATCTTTCCCAAAAGTTGGTCTAATAAAAGATATTTCCTACCTTGTCTCTCCCATTTTTAGATGTCACGTTTGTACTTTTACAGCGCTTGTTAGACTGGAATAAGTGTATAAGCGCTTGTCAGGTCTGATAACCTTTCCGCGTCCACGTTTTTTAACAAAAGGTTTAACTTGCCTCAGTCTGATTCACTTGTAAATAGACCAAAGTCTGTCCCAGACCCTGGCAGAAGAAATTCAAGTGTGGGATTTCGGTTGGGTTGCGGGTTGGCCCGCGATGGCGGGTATATAATGCAGTAGGACAAATGTTCTGGGGACTGCCTCTGAAAGGAGTGATTTTTGCCTTCCCTCGCTCCATTGTCCCATCCCCAGCAGACCCATGTTCTTTTCTCTTCCAGTGGGCCACAGAAAACTCCCGAGGCTGAGCGCTGAAGAGATGGCGACAAGCCCCCGGCCAGGACCTACGGACATCCTGCTCTCCTCCCCCTCCAACACCTATCAGCCGGACTCCATGAGCCAGCAGAGAGCCAGCCACGCCAGCATGAAGCCTAACCAAGTGGGCCAGGTGATTTTGTACGGGATCCCCATCGTGTCTTTGGTGATCGACGGCCAGGAGCGGCTGTGCCTGGCGCAGATCTCCAACACCCTGCTGAAGAACTTCAGCTACAACGAGATCCACAACAGGAGGGTGGCGCTGGGCATCACCTGCGTGCAGTGCACCCCGGTGCAGCTGGAGATCCTGCGGCGGGCCGGGGCCATGCCCATCTCTTCCCGCCGCTGCGGCATGATCACCAAGCGGGAGGCGGAGCGGCTCTGCAAGTCCTTCCTGGGGGAGAACCGGCCCCCTAAGCTGCCGGACAACTTCGCCTTCGACGTGTCTCACGAGTGCGCCTGGGGCTGCCGGGGCAGCTTCATCCCGGCCCGCTACAACAGCTCCCGGGCCAAGTGCATCAAGTGCAGCTACTGCAGCATGTACTTCTCGCCCAACAAGTTCATCTTCCACTCCCACCGCACGCCGGAGGCCAAGTACACGCAGCCCGACGCCGCCAACTTCAACTCCTGGCGCCGCCACCTCAAGCTGACGGACAAGACCCCCCAGGACGAGCTGGTCTTCGCCTGGGAGGACGTCAAGGCCATGTTCAACGGCGGGAGCCGCAAGCGGGCCCTGCCGTCCGCCCCGTCCCAGTCCGGCGCGGCGGCGGCCGCCCAGTGCCACCCGCTGGGCTCGGTCAAGGCGGCGGCCGCGGTGGTGGGCGGCGGGCTGCTGAGCCCGCACCTGCTGGGGGCGCCGCCGCCGGAGCTGCAGCAGAAGCGGGCGCGCTTCGAGGAGGACGAGGAGCTGGAGGGCGGCGGCAAGAGCCAGCGGAGCTACCCGGTCATCCCGGTGCCCAGCAAGGGCTCCTTCGGCGGCGTGCTGCACAAGCTGCCCGGCTGCGGCGGCCTCTTCCCGCACCCCTACGGCTTCCCCGCCGCCGCCTTCAGCCTCTGCCACAAGAAGGAGGAGGGCGCGGCGGGCGAGGCGCACAAGGCGGCCGGCGGCCTCTCGGGCCTCTTCTGGCCCGGCCGCAAGGAAGCCGCCTTCTACCCGCCCTTCTGCATGTTCTGGCCGCCCCGCGCCCCCCGGCGGCCTGCCGGTGCCCACCTACCTGCAGCCGCCGCCGCAGCCGCCCA